CCCCACTTCCTGGGAGAAAAAGGAGGCTGATTTTGCTGGGCAAGGTGAAAGCACCATTTCAGTAGCCCATTCCCAATGGGATTGCCGTGTCTGGGCAGCAAAGGAGGTAGGGAGGACTGGAAAAACTAGAAAAAGGTGCAAAAATACCTGGGACAGCTGCAAACCCTGTAGCTCTCCAGAGATATACTTCAGAGCTGCTGTTGCCAGCCGTCTCACTCTAGAACTCAGCAGATTCCCAGTGAAAATAAAAGTGATGGTGCCCAAACCTCCAGCAATTACATTCCCCATTCAAGGTTGCAGACCTCATTCTCATATTTGCAGTAGTACCTCAGTGCAATCCCTGTATGATGTGTCATATTTCCTTTCTCCATTGGTCTTCATGCTAGCTGATGTTTCTAAACAGGCAAGTTTTCCAGTGTGGTTGCAGACTGTGACGAGATCTAATATGGTGTTTTAATTTAGACAGGTAGTCTTCACAGCTGCCATAGTACTCATTCCCAGAATAAATGTAGAAAATGCTCTAACTTCCTTCTGTCAAGCATCAAATTCCAATTTCTTTGACAGTCTTGTGGCAGAAAAGTCATATGTTTCCTGTGATGGAATCAGCTGGATGGCCACTTCACCATTTTTAACATAATTTAAAAAGTAAAATAATGTAAAAATTTAAAATCTGAGCAAATGCATTAAGCTAAATACCTGCTTAAATAAATGTGCATAGATATACTATATCTTCCTGATTAGTGAAAAAAGTAATATGAAATGTTGTGTAAAGGCTATAATTAGTTGCAAATCAACATGATTTAATGATTACCAACCAATGAAAATCAGTCTTTAGAAAAATAACTAAAAAGTACAAAAGCAAAACAGAATTAATTTAATTTAATTTAACACAATTAAAATTGGTGATGTAAATCACTTTGATCACTTAAATCAATCCACCCTATCTCCGGTGCCATGACAATGTTACACTCTTACTTGAAAGCTACTCAACCAATCTGAGAATCTGGAACAGAAGTAATCACATCTCTCTCTGCTGAAGGTACCACTGCACTGTGATAGAAGGTCCTACAATCTCCAGTATAGATTTATTGGAAATAGGCCCTAAAAGTCACTAGTTCTGAAATGCTGTATGTTTTACTATTCGCATGGCAGTACCTTGCAGACTATGTGTCAGGCAATAGTACTGATTTTTAAATTTATAATAAGGGGGTACTAGGTGGCTTTGCAAATTGATACTCCTCTATGCAACCTTTCACCTTTTGGCCATCAGTATAAATTCAGACTAGTTTGTTGTGGCCTAAAACACATTACAAATTGAAGATTAAATTTCAAGGGATTATCGGTTTATTATTTACAAATATCTTCCACATTGTGTCCTTTTATTCAAAGTAATTGAGAGCTATTGAGAATCAAGTTTAGAAGATTTGAAAAGAAACTTTTAAAATAGCAAACCCAGAAGTAAGTGAGCCATTTCTTCCGCTTGTAAAGACACCTTTGTATGTCTGGAATAATTCTATCATTTTCCATATGTTGCTAAGTTTACTAAGCAGTTTAATTCATAATTGAACAAAAATAGAAAAGTAGGAAACATGCAGCGTTTTTTGTTAAATGTCTAATATCAAACACTTCACTGTGTCAGCCAACAATCTAATTTCATTAAAAATACTGATTAAACCTCATGGCATGCATGTTTGTAGGTTTGTGTTTTGTGGCTTTTATGGAATTTATAGTCAGTTTTATAAAGTTCCAAGGCCTTTACATTTGATAAGTCAACAATTCACAATCTAATATGTCCACAAGCCCTCAGTAGAATACAAAGTCCTTCAAACCATCAT